GGAGACGGCGGCCAAAAAGGTTGGGAAAAAGCCAGCTCCAGCCTTTTCCTCGCCCTAAGCCAAGCAGCATCCTAGGAAGGGGCTTTCAAAGACACTTCAGTCAGGCAAAGGCTTCGCTCCAGCAGCTTCCGACGGCTGGACGTGGTGGAAAAGGGCTTGGGCAAGAGCTGCCTTTGGAAATTCCCCGGCTTTGACGGACATGGAGCTTGGAAAAGCCCCGTCCTTGGCATCCTCAGAGCTCGGAGCGGTGCTTTGAGCCTGAATCCGGGTCACAACTCCGGAATGGGGGTTGTTTTGGGTCCCCGTCGCCCCCTCGCAGAGGACGGGGCATTTCCAGCCACGGGAGTCGCGGCTCCACTCAGCTTTTCCCTGGATTTCGCACGGGAATGAGTGGCCGGAGCAACCGCGTTGCCTCGGATGTCACCCAAGCCAGTGGCTGGCGGGGAGGGATCGGCACCCCCGGCCCCGCATCCCGCTGCTCCCTCAAAGGTGCCCTTTGTATCCAGGGGGATTCGGGCCGCGCTGCAGCCAGGAGGGCCTGAATAGCCCCATTATCCCAAGGGCTGCTCCAGAAAGGGAGCCAAGAGGCCCCGGCGGTTCCGGGCCTAATGTGGGAACGCGGAGAGCTCGCAGGGCCGTTTATCCAGGTGATTCATCCCGCGGAAAAGGGGGAAGGGAAGTTGTGCGCTTCCCAAGCGGCCACTTCCAAGGATGCAGAGGAGCGACGGAGCCTGGGCGCCGCGTTCCCGACCCGGCTCCCTCGGCCCTTATCCGCCGGGAAGGGGATTTGAGGGCGGAGGGTCTTTTACCTCGGATGATCACGGCGAGTCTCTCCCCGCTGGGGTCCCAGGCCATGGCGGTCACTTCTCCGCCGATCCTGGAAGCGGACGGAGCCGCAATGAGATTCCCTACGGCAAAGGGCACCGGCACGGGCGGACAGGAACCCGCTCCGGGCGGTTGTAGCAACAGGCGGCAGGGCCGGCCTCACCTCTCCTCCCCGTACAGCGTCTCGAAGGTGGTTTCCGACAGGTCGGCCACGATGGAAGCGGTTTTGGATCCTCCCACCTGCCCTTGCATCTCTCCTGAAATGGGACATGGGAATAATCCACGTGGGATCGGGGAAATGCCTCAACATGGACCCAGTGTTCACAAAATGATAGGGAATTTCTCCCTGCTCCTATTCCCAAACCATCCATCCGCCCATGATCATGTGGAACGGCAGGGGAGCGTTTCCCTCTCCAACAAGCTGCTTCCATGGGGAAAAAGCAGCAGGAGCTGGAAAACTTCACACCCCTTTGCACTGTCAAGAGATTCCCTGCAAACTGCTGGGGCCTCGGAGCAAAAGACAACAGGAAAAGGGGAAAATTCAGCGTATGGAGGCGTTTGTCCTACCGGCCATTGTACTCACCCCTGTACTCGGAGAAGGACAGGGAATAAATGACGGATTCGCCCAGCACGGAGAAGAGCAGGCGGCTGCCGTCGGGGCTCCAGCACCCCGTCTGCAGGGCACGTTAATTAAACCGGGCTAACGAGGCCGGAGCGCTTTGCAAAAGCCTCTCCAGAGCCAGCGGGAGCAACAGGGCGATGGGAATGGCCCGTTTTCCAGGTGATCCCGGGGTACCTGGCAGCGTCCTCGGAGCGTCGGCCACCGCTCGCACGTCCACGTCTGCGCCTCCCACACCCTGCTCGAGCACCCCGTCTGCAGGGCACGTTAATTAAACCGGGCTAACGAGGCCGGAGCGCTTTGCAAAAGCCTCTCCAGAGCCAGCGGGAGCAACAGGGCGATGGGAATGGCCCGTTTTCCAGGTGATCCCGGGGTACCTGGCAGCGTCCTCGGAGCGTCGGCCACCGCTCGCACGTCCACGTCTGCGCCTCCCACACCCTGCTCGGGAGGCAGCCGCACAGACCCCATTCCCCCGCTTTTCAGCCCAAACCGGCCAC